AATGATAACTGCAGAAGTGGAAGGGAATTCATTACCAAGAAAGGAAATAGAAGGATAAATGCAGCTAGTGGAAGAGAATTCATAGCCCAGAAAGGAAGTTGAAGGATAACTGCAGAAGTGGAAGGAAATTCATTACCAAGAAAGGAAATAGAAGGATAAATGCAGCTAGTGGAAGGGAATTGATAGCCAAGAAAGTAAGTGGAAGGATAAATGAAGAATTGGAAGAGAATTCATAGCCAAGAAAGGAAGTTGAAGGATAACTGCAGAAGTGGAAGGGAATTCATAGCCAAGAAAGGAAGAAGAAGGATAACTGCAGAAGTAGAAGGGAATTCATAGCCAAGAAAGGAAGTAGAACGATAACTGCAGAAGTGGACGGGAATTCATAGCCAAGAAAGGAAGTAGAAGGATAACTGCAGAAGTGGACGGGAATTCATAGCCAAGAAAGGAAGTTGAAGGATAACTGCAGAAGTGGAAGGAAATTCATAGCCAAGAAAGGAAGTAGAAGGATAACTGCAGAAGTAGAAGGGAATTCATAGCCAAGAAAGGAAGTAGAAGGATAACTGCAGAAGTGGAAGGGAATTCATAGCCAAGAAAGGAAGTAGAAGGATAAATGCATAAGTGGAAGGGAATTCATAAACAAGAAAGGAAGTAGAAAGATAAATGTAGAAGTGGAAGGGAATTCACAACCAAGAAAGGAAGTAGAAGGATAAAGGAAGAATGCAGAAGGGTATGTATAAGGTGTGAAGGTAAATTAAATTTTTTTTGTACTAATAGAAGTTTATGAAAGTCAGCTTGTGGCGGCTATGAAAGTCGTCTTTCCTAAGAAGAACCTTTCGCGGCAAGTAGAAGAATAGAGGGAGTTTTCCAGAAGCCACGTCATGATATATATTTTCTACTTTGTAAACTTAGATAAAAAATATAGTTAGTCGTTATCTTATTTCTCGTCTTATTGCTATCCGCCAAAAGCTTATGATTTTCATGTTTGAAATGCTCATGTGACCTAGAGAAAATTACCCTCAGATTTTTCTGATCCAAAGATTTGCAGACTAAAAATTGTAAAATATCTTGAAATAGGCTAGGTAAATTAACCTAGGCAGGTAGAGTTGGTGGGGGCGAAGTGTGTTGTCAAATTACTAAAAACCCTCATGAAGTTAAACTAGATATTCGATATTTTCTTTTAAAATTACTCGATAATTAGCAACCACCCCCCCCCCCCTCTAAAGTTTTTTTTGTCCTAGCATTCTCATTTTTGACTCTATCACCGTGAAATAAAAAAAAAATTAAAGACATTTTTTTAATGCATGGGTAGGTTACAGGGCAGTAAAAAATCCAGTCTGTGTAAAAAAAAACTAAAATAGCCCATAATTTTTTTGTGATTAAGGCTACAGTTCTGAAAAGCCCTTAAAAATGGATGTTAAAACACGTGTCACACTTTGCTATTTAGTTAAAACAATACAAAAATTGTTTCTGCATTTTTTTACCCTTTTTTGGCATTTTTTTCAACCCTCCCTAGCAGCTAAACTATTAAAGTTATCAGTCTAATTTTTTTTTCAATGAGCTGGCCATGAAAGATTGGGCTATGAGCATGCATGTAAACCCTATACCAATTCCCTGTTTGTTCATATATTGGGCCCCATAAAACTGAGGAATATGAAAACTATTTTAGCAATATTATGTGTATTTGATGTAAAATCATATTTTAGCAATATTATGTGTATTTGATTTAAAATCATCTATATGAACTATATGATCTATATGATCTATATTTTAGCAATAATATGTGTATTTGATTTAAAATCATCTATATGAACTACATGATCTATATGATCTATATTTTAGCAATAATATGTGTATTTGATTTAAAATCATCTATATGAACTACATGATCTATATGATCTATATTTTAGCAATATTATGTGTATTTGATTTAAAATCATCTATATGAACTACACGATCAATATAATCTATATTTTAGCAATATTATGTGTATTTGATGTAAAATGATCTATATGAAATATTTTTTAGCAATATTATGTTTATTTGATGTAAAATGATCTATATGATCTATATTTTAGCAGTATTATGTGTATTTGATGTAAAATAATCTATATGATCTATATTTTAGCAATATTATGTGTATTTGATGTAAAATGATCTATATAAACTATAGATGAAGCAAATAATATAACCAGTTGCTTGAAAATCAACTTGTAAAGTAAAATGAATCTATTAAACGGCAAAATTTCTGTTTTTTTTGTTCATTGGACTTTATTCTAAATTATAACAATCGTCTTACTAGTCCAGAGTTGTATGGGTTCCATTTTAGTTAATCACTTTTATATATAAAACAGTTATTAGAAATGCTGGCTTGCATCGCCTTTTCTATTTTTTTTTGTATTCTAGATGTATGATTCACTATATTTATTTAAGGAGATCGAATTAAATAAAATTATTTATTTTTTTAAAGTTCTCAAATCAATATACTATAATTTATAAATGTAGAGTCATGCACGTAAAATTGCATTTCCTGCTCAAAGACCAAACTAGACCAACTAGACCAACTAGACCAACTAGACCAACTAGACCAACTAGACCAACTAGACCAACTAGACCAACTAGACCAACTAGACCAACTAGACCAACTAGACCAACTAGACCAACNATGACGATGCCTATACTCTGGTCTCTGACTGGTTAACAATAAAGAACTGAAGACACACCCACAAATAATTTCTTGTCCCGCCTCTTAATTGTTAACGCAGGGTCATAGGGACCTTTAGATGCATCGGCTCCACCCCCCTCCCCCTTCTACAATTATATCTTTATCAACATCAATTATCAAATATACAAAATCTTTGATTTTCAAACTTTAATAGTTGATGATAATTTAAACAAATTTTTAATTAAAAATTCACTCGTTACAATGAAACCGTTTACGTAAATAGCACTATTTTGAAAAAAATCATATTCGGCTCGGATTTGTTTGTAAGGGGATGGAAGTCCCTCCGTTAAAATATCATTGACTTCATTTTCCGCCCCTTTTCTTATTGAAGGCGGAACTCTCCTTTGCATATAAATGTAGTCATCCCACTTCCATATTTATTATTAATTCCTTCTTCTCCTCCTTAAACATATACAAAGGCCCCTCCTTATCCTTGTAATAAAACTATCCTCCTCTCCCCTCCCCCCTCCTGAAAATCCCCTTTTTCAATATTTACCCTCCCTAGAATATTCTAGATTTCTTCCTTCTGTCTAAGATTAGTTACATCCAGGGGAGTCAATGTAAATTAGAAACTCACAGGATTCAAATACTAAACCACCATGGAGCATACGAGTATACAGATAGATAGATAGATAGATAGATAGATACAGATAGATAGATAGATAATTAAACAGTCAAGATAAGGATGGATTGAAGGAGTGAGAGAAGTTCTTTTTATCAACTAATCTATCAGGTTTTCATTAATCAACTTACTTCTTACATATCCTAGATACAAGTATTTACAACGGAAAGGTTGTAAATGTCCTAGTAATCATTTAACCTAAAATACGATAAAAAAGAATATTCACGGAATAAATCGAATCATATTATATGAAAGTAAATAACTAAAGAATATCGTAAACAAGCTTTATCTCATGATATCTAACCTTATGAAATGGCAACCTAGAATCTTAACATTCTGACATCCTGACATCCTGACATCCCGTTTATGCAGCATGTCATTTTGACAGCAAAAGTGATGACATCCATCCTGAAATTTAGATATCCTGACATGATAACAGCCAAGTGCCTTTTTTATCTTTTTGATTTTAGAAATAACTTCTGAATTCAGACATCTCTGAAGATTGACATCCTGACATCCTGACATCCTGACATCCTGACATCCTGAACTCTTGACATCCTGACATCCTGACATCCTGACATCCTGACATCCTGAACTCTTGACATCCTGACATCCTGACAGCCTGACATACTGACATACTGACAGCCTGACATACTGACATCCTACTATCCTGACATCATGACATCCTGACATCATGACATCCTGACATCATGACATCCTGACATCATGACATCCTGACATCATGACATCCTGACATCATGACTGACATCCTGACATCATGACATCCTGACATCATGACATCCTGACATCATGACATCCTGACATCATGACATCCTGACATCATGACATCCTGACATCCTGACATCCTGACATCCTGACATCCTGACATCCTGATACCTGACATCCTGACATCCTGACATTTTGACATCCTAACATCCTGACATAATGACATCATGACATCCTGACATTATGACATTTTGAAATTTTAATTGAAAAAATAATAATAGTTTCTACTTTACGTACTAAAGAACATTGTTCATGATTATAAAAAGCCAAAAGGTTGAAGAAGTAAAATGCTAAACTATCTAAACACTCTAAACTGTTAAACTTGAATTGCCCAAATAAACTGTTTAAACAGTCAAACCCAAAATTAAACCTAGAAAAGATCAAATTGTTTTATAGTGCAGTTTACACATACAACAATGCAATTTTTGCTAATTAATTTTTTAGGGCTTTTACGATCAGGAACTATAAAATATTTTGAAATCGTGTATTCAATCAAAGAAAATCAAGAAATATATAAATATACAAATATATATATTTCTTTTTAGAATTTTTTCAATCTCAATCCTTTGATGTGGGTAATTCTAAGAGTAATGAAAAGCGTTTCCTTTTTAATTTAAATTCTATTCGTTTAGTGTATCCTTTGTTGTTAAGAGGTGTAATACTAAAACCAAAATTCATTATTTACTGTACTTGATATGATGCAAAATACATTATACATTACTTAATAGGGAGGAGAGTTAAACGCCACATAAAGCGGTATCGTAACTCCTCTGGCCTGGGATGGTTGTCTAAATATAATGCGCGCTCAACACCCCGTGTGCTCAAGAAAAATTTCCCTCCCGCGCACACTTAGTTTTAAATCGAGTTCTGTTGTGCGCGGAGCTACGTTCTATGTGTTAAAAATGCGCGCGCTAGTGAGTACTTTCTTGGCTTTATTGTGAAATTATTTTGAAAATTATAAATATCAGAATCAAACTGAAAAGAGGAAAAGTGACTGGGGCAAAGTGTCTGATCAGTTCCCTGAGAAGTAAACTACCAGTGAAACACAATAGATATTAAATAAAGTGGACAAAAGAAGAAGTGAAGCCTGCTTATTAGCTAGGCGGTCAGAACACAGTTTATGCCAGGGAATAGAATGGGATGATGAGGACATAAACTTGAAAACTCTAGGTAGGGCCATAAATACTAAATAAACACTAAGTATATCCAAATTTTAGAATCATTCATTGTACATAGAGAACACATTTATAATTTAGTATTTAATACACAATTAGGTAATTGTAATATTGAAATGTTTCAGTTTCATATCTCAAGTAGGAGGGTATTACATCGAAGATGTATACCAGTTCTTAAATATAAATGTTCTCATAGAATGATTGATAATTTATGATAAGTCTGAAATATCAAAGATCTATGTGTTGCAAAGATATAAAAATTACGAAATCAGAGTTTGTGGCAAAAACTCTTTTGCACACTTAAAATGCGGCAAACTTTAAAACGCCAGTGACCACTCTTCAGATACTCCAAGAGTAGAGGTATATTCAAATTTGAAAATAGGCATTTTCATTCTTCACTAAACACTACTATAATCTTCGGTGTACTGCAGATTACTACAGTACGCACCGAAATCTTAAGTTTAGTGTTAAGCTTTATTGATAACTCAACATAGCTATAAAAACATATGTATCTATAATATAAATAAAGCTCGGAACAGTTTGTAAATGAAATAGATACGAAAAACTTGAAATAACGATGTTGCTTTTTGAATAAATTCAGCTCTCTTAGATATAAAAAATTAAATCGTTAACCTTGGTAAAATATCAAAAATCAAAAAAAATCTGGTTTAACAAATAAAATTTTGTTTACAAATCACTTTGAATATATCTCTTACCCTCACCCTCTCCATTACTTCAAAATGCAGATGTTTTTAACTGTTTTGAAACCATTCTTTCAAATCATAAATCTATATATCTATATTACTATCTATCAATCTATCTTCCTCTGATTTGAATTCAACCCTTCTCATGTTTCCCCTGTTCGTGTCTTGGATTTCCGACAAAAGATGAAAGAATTGAAAGAATTGTTTCTCCAAATTGTTTGGCATTTTTTCTTTTTGATATTTCAATCAGCAGTCCGCGTTAGCTTTTCACGTTTCTATTTAGTCTTATCTACCTATCTCAATATGTATCTGGAGTCAAGTCTTATCTACCTATCTCAATGTGTATCTGGAGTCAAGTCTTATCTACCTATCTCAATATGTATCTGGAGTCAAGTCTTATCTACCTATCTCAATATATATCTGGAGTCAAGTCTTATCTACCTATCTCAATTTGTATCTAGAGTCAAGTCTTATCTACCTATCTCAATATGTATCTGGAGTCAAGAATTAAATGAATTTAATGTTGAGCCAATCAGAAAATAGGTTTCTAAACTACAGAATGAATCATAAAACTACAAGAATAGGAAATCGATTTTAAATAATAGATCCAATGCACATGGAACACAACAATTGTGCAGTGTACACGGACCCATTTCACTTAATAAGTTTATTTTCAAGTTACTGGTAGAACTATTGTATTAATAACAGTATCAAATATCTACACATAAGACCAGCTAACATTTTCAAATATTCAAATAATTCATGATTGGTTTTTATTGTCATTTTATTAAGAATTGACGTATTTTTGTTTTCATACGAAAGGACAAACCGCTATCCAGTGGATTTCTACAGCAGGTGACATGCAAGAAATGGCCAAGATTTATCTGGCTTACAAAAGTCGTACACAATCTTGTCAATCGTTTATGGTATTCTTAAATTGAGAGTCGGTTACAATTACTTTATAATTTAAAGTCTAACAAAAAGTACATCTGAGGAACCAGAAAATGGAGAAAATGATCCAATCTAATTTAAATCCTGAACAATTCTCATTTCAAAGAACCATGTAATGGGAAGCGATTCTGTCATTTGTGTCCATTATTGCCATTTCACGTTTATCATACAATGTGCAACCAGAATTGGAAAAGTTTACCCCCCTTCCCCCCCCCCTCCACCCGACTTTTCAGGTCATAGGAAATCAAACTTTGCCCTCTTTAACCCATTTATGAGGGTATATATAAAGTAGCCCCCCCCCC